GAGGAGGAGGAGGAGGAGGAGGAGGAGGAGGAGGAGGAAGAAGTATAATCTTTACTGTCATTGTACTTAAATACAACCAAAATTGGTTTTAACCTCACTGGTGCCAAATTATAACAGAAACGAAAAAAGAAGAAGAAGGAGGAGAAGAAAGATTGGCTGTACTGAGAATTAGAATAGATTAAATAGGGAAACAAATTGGAATTAGGGGGAATATGCCTTTTTAAGCATCCTTCCTTCACCTGTTTTTCCAGCTGTTCTTCATCGTCCTGCCAGTTTTCCCCGCAGACCGTTTGAAGACGCTCCAGCTGCCGTTTCTGCATTCGGCCCGGCAGGAAAAAATTAAGCGGGAAGGGGATGGCTTCCGCGAACCACTTCCGCGTGTGCTCCACGTAATTCTTTGCGTCCACCCAGAAAGTGTGGATCTGTTGGAAAGGAGGAGAATCCCCTGAGTGACTTCCCTCAACGGGCACAGCCTCCTCCTCCGTTGGGAGGAGAGAGAGAGAAAAGAAGACAAGGAGCAATGTTTCTAGTCCTCATGAGATCTTCACAAATAGAACGGTTTTTATACGCCTTCCCGTCCCACAAAAAACCAAACTATTAACAAAAAAACGGACCGAGGAGGTTAAAAAAGGGATAAAGTTTTGTCCCAACAGACCACCAAAGCTTACAATCTTGGTTTAATGGGCAAAACAGACCACGAATGGCTGCTTCGCTCAAACCAAGATGAGTTAGTTGGGAAACTTGCAGCAAAAACATAATATAGGTTGTCTTTAGATTTACGGCCGCAATTTTAGTCGCTGAGCGAGGCAGTTGTTAAAGTGTGATTTTTACAGTCTTTTTCGCCGCCGTCGTTAAGCGAATCACTGCCTTGGCTGGGACAATGATTAAAGTATGACTTTTTATGGGCCTTCTTGCCACCGTCGTTAAGCGAATCAGTGTTGTGGCTGGGGCAATTATTAAAGTAGGATTTTTACGGCCCTTCTTGCCACCGTCGTTAAGCGAATCACTGTTGTCNTTATCCTGGGATACTTACAGTTTATTTGCCTTGATTCATAAATTAAGGCTGAACAAAATATAAAAACCCAACCATACCCTGAACTATTAAAAATGGAATAAATCATCCAGCAAAATCTGGTGTGAGAAACCTCCAGCCATTGTATTACATGTCACAATGGAGTCACTGTGTGTGAGTTGGGTAACTATATCAATTTTTTAAATAAATGAATGAATACATGTGTCCTTGGCCTAATTATAATAATTATAGGGTTTACACTTGTAGGCAGAATCATGTATTGTTGGATAGGGTGGAGAAAAGAGAAGCGGAGGGAGAAAGAATCAAAAAATGGAAAGAGTGCAAGTACCAGAGAAAGCTAAGGGGGCAGGCTTTATTCATATCTATAACCAGCATGTTACAAGTTCCTGGCACATCCCCAAAAGGAAGACAATTTAAAAACATGTCCATCTGAAAAAAACTGCAAAGCCTGTTAGCATGAACTAAGCATTTCCCACTCCAGAGTGAAAGCAGCATTAAAATACTCTTAAACATTGAAGTGTTGTGTATGCACACACATATGCAGACAACCAAGGACCATTTTTGAAGTAGTAAGCAACAATTGACATCTTCCAAAAATCACATCGTTATTTCAATGCTTCAAGTAGGATGCTTCATTTGCACCATATGTGAAACACGTACTTCATGTGCCTTGCAAAGATCTATTAATTTCCAAGTTCTACATAAAGAAGATGTGCTATCCTAGGATATAAAATGAAAAGTATTGTTTTCTAATAAACCCTGCATAAATAATTGTAGCAGATTCTCTAAAGATTTCTACAAGCCTCCTCTTTGTGTATTATTACAAATAAAGATTGCTGAATCAGCCACTTCCATGGCTTATAAAGGTTAGATTGCAGTTCTTGTAACCAAGTTAGCACAAGAACAATCTAGAGTCTCCAAACAGTGATTGCTAAGTAAGGTTGTTCATGTAATCTCAGCTTGGACATTTCTCTAAGGTCCTTTTCCATTTCTGATCATTGTTCCCCATATAGCAGCATATAGCATTACAATATTTTATAGTTTGTGGAATCATTTATAAGGAGTGAAAGTAGGAACCTCCACTCATTTGTTTATGCTATTAATGGAATTTGTTGAATGGAAGATGAGCCCCAACAAAATCTATTTGCTAAGGGAGAGAAATAAGCTAGAAGCAAAGAGAGGCCGTGAATGAATATATCTTGTTAATGGCTGGTTAATTAATACAAATTACATTAAGCTTCTCTATTAAATGAGCAGACTTGGAGTATTCGTTACATTTCATTTCTTAAAAATAAATTATTTTTCAGTTATATCTTAATCTGCAGAGCCTTTACTAGCCTGAATAGAAGTAATGAGGGAAGAGACAATGGGCAGCTCAATCTGCTGTTAGCAATAATAGCA